CACCCAAACACACACCAACACAGAGCTCCATACACACTACAGTACTTGTACCCACTACAACAACTTCACACACACATATATATACACACATACACACACACACACACACACACACAATAACCCTGGAGAGAGTGTTGGGGTTAACAGTCTTAATGTTACAAAATGAGTTGACTCAAGGAAGATTTGTTTTGGATATGGCAAGGTTGACAGAAAAAGATATTAGTCTGTAGTCTACAGTTCCTACCACATTCGTATTTTGTGGTAGTGTTTTGTATTTCTAATAATTTAAGATTACTGTATTCTAATGGTGCAATATTTAACATTTTCTTCATCAGACTTTACTTTTAAAGGCAGAAAAACAATTACACAAATACACAAATGAGGGCATTCAATACATTAGCTATTCACAGCATACTTCACCATTTGATGGTGGTGATCGGTTGAAGCAAAGTGGATAAAATAAAAAAATAAAGTCTATGGTCTGACAGCCTCAGCAGCAATTAAGACGGTGAAAATAGCGCCATCTGGTGGCCGGAAAGCACGTCTTGTTCTACTTGCTAAATATTCTTGTAATTCTAAAGTTGAAATTAATGTTCTGTGTTGGAAAAAAGAAAGTGAAAAATACAAAAAAACATTATATTCTGTGTTGGTACAAAATAAAAACAAAATAAATACACCACAGTGTTTATAACCTAATAATGATGTAGTGATGCAAAGAACCTAATTGTGATGCAGGCTGCAAAATCTGATGCAGAGGGGGACGGAATATCACTTAGTTGGCGGAGGTCTGCACTCTCTGAGTGCTTTTCATTTTTAAGAGTCTTCCTAATATGTTTGTTTGCTTGGACAGATGCGCCACCTGACATTTTGGGGGTTTGAGATGCCAAAACACAAAATAATTATATTATGTGAACATACTGAAAATACTCTCAAACTAATCATGTTTTATAGAATAAAATGACATATGACTTGAATTGATTAAATTATTTTTAAAAAGAAATAATGCATTCTGACAGGAAAATATGCATGTCATGTCACTGACCCATGTATGTTAAAATCTCCCAACAGTATTGTTAGGGGAGAGTGCACAAAGAGGGGTAAGAAAAGCAGCAAATTAATTTATGAAATCATTATTGGGCTTGGGTGGGCGATAGACCATATCAACTATGGTAGGGGTAGGGCCATTTAGCTGTAAGGCAATGGATTCAAAGGAGATGTGATTGGGCACAGTCAGGCACAAAGCTTTCCACTTCTCACGGAAAATTATCGTGAGACCTCCCCCTCTGCGAGAAGCACGGGGTTGACAGATGTAAACAAACCAAGGTGGCGTAGATTCATTCAGTTGAGAAAAGTCATTAGGTTGTTGCCATGTCTCAGTCACATACAGAAAGTCAAACCTACGATCCACCAGGAGATCCCGGAGGAGAGGACCCTTGCTTGTGAGAGGGCGGATGTTGAATAATCCGAAGTTGACTTTGTTTTGGAGGAGTTTGACGCTGGCGTTAGCCAACCGGGCTAGGCTGGCTAGGACACGGTGGGTAACTTGCCATCTGGGGTTTCCTGGACGGCGACGAGTTGAAGACCAGATGGATTGTATTGGTGTGGAGTCGTCGATGTAAAAGCTCCGCCGGGATCCACGATGGATATATTTCCGACGGGCATGACGCGTGATGTCCGGGCAGAGAAGCAGTGCCGGTGTGGGATCCAACAGGTGGAAGCGCAGTTGCAGTAGCTCAGCAGCTGAATATTGGCTTACTGCTGTCGATGGAGTGAGTAAAAAGGACAGGGCAGTCCAGGCGAGCAAAGACCATACAAACTCAGTGTTTCCCATACATTGACGAGACTATGGCGGCCTGCCTACCGGCTGGAGCACCTACTGAGAATTCTTTGGCTTTCCCCCTCACCCTCCCCGGCCTCAGCACAGATGTCACTGTCCTAGTGCTAGCATGAGCTTGAGTTGATAGAGCAGAACGCATTTTTAAGCAGAATACTGAGGAATACTGACAGCCACTTCGCAAAGCATCCTTGGAAACACCGGAAAAACATCAGTGGAGAATTGTGTGGCTGTATTTAAGACAACTCTGAGCCTGCACGGCAATACACAGCACCATTGAAGTAAGCTCTGAAAACTTTTTCTTTCTCATTTGGCTCATGGTACTTACTTTCCATTCCAGGTCAAAACTGATCTCCACAACAGGCTGCAGGGAAAGCACCCAGCTGCCTGCCTGAGGGTTGTCATAAATGGGCCTGTCCCAGAGGCATTCAACTACGGATGGGGGCGGATAACAAATCAAAAATTTTGCTCGGGTTCGGCCCACTTGACATGCTGCTGTGTTGTGCTATGGCCTAAGCATCCGTAGCGCCTAATAATATAACGGTAATTTCTAAAGAGCTAAGACGAAGACAAAAAATCAGCAGCGGCGGTCATATTTCAGTTGCATATAGGGGAAACACTGGGCCTCCGGAGGCAGATCAGTGCGTTAGTCATTTTTCTTGTGATTACTGAAATGTTTAACCACTAATCCTTAGCTGTAA